CCTCACTTATATCTCTGCCTTGTTAAACCTCCTCTTACGGTTCAGGAAATATGAGCTTGATACTACAAAGGTCAGGTCTACTGTACCTCTGACTAATAAGCTCATCTTTTATAAACACGCTCTGGCCCTGGATGATTCGCTGAGGTGAGGAGACATTAACATTTCATCTTACCATCAAGCAGCGGCCAGCAGCTACAGCCAAACACTACATGTTTTGAATATTCACCTACATTCACTCACAATGACCTGTATTGTTACTTGGCTAAAGCTGAATGGCACAGTTGGCAGCCACACCTTAAAATGCAACCAACTATGAATTCTAGTGTTTTTATTCTATTCTTGTGTTCCTGTGGGTCGCCCACAGGGCTGCAGGGTGTTTGCCAGCATGGCAGACGGGCAGACAGTGTGTGGCTACCAGCAGTACACTGAGGGGAGGTGGGTTTTTAGCCGGACTCCTTCCTGAAACAAACAGAGAACCAGATGTCCACAAGTAAAGCTTAGCAGTGCATGCAATGAGGATGAATGCTATCCTGAGCGAACCACAGTTGCTTCCTTCTGAGACACATGGTTTCATTAATGTTCACTGAAAACAGCCCAAAACCCAGAAAATCAGCAGAGAGTATCCTTCATTTCATTTCATTTCTGACTGATACTTAAGTTGTAAAACCAAATGTTGGCACTAAAGGGCTTTTCATCCCTCAGAGAAACGATTTAGATAGATCTTGTTGAAGATGTTTTGATGCACACTTCTTTGAAATCAAATCAAATAAATCTAAAGGACACTAACCCTGAATTGTAAAAGCAAGTGTTTTTTTTGTCATTCATGCCTTTGTTCAACAGGTATGTACGGCACACAACAAATGTGCCAAATATTTAACTGATATGTAGACTGTAACTTTACCATAATGCTTCAGGAGTCCAGCGCACAAGCTGGGCATACTTTTGGGTGTAATGTTACATCTGACCCTGTCTGAGTTGTACCTGGGTGTTACTTTTGAGAGAAGGGATAAGTTAGAAAAACCAGACTAGTATCCATCTAAGGTAAATCAAACGTAGAGTAAATCTAAAAACTTAAAAGGGAAACACAATGGAGACACGTCTTGTTTACCGGATGATCAATGAAAAGGCATTTAGACAAGGAGGAGAGCCTACTTAAAGTTTTTCTTAGTTGACAAGCCCTGTGTTCCGTCTTCCCCTTTTAAAAACTTTTCTCTCTCATTATGTCATAATCATCCACTGAAAGACAACAGTGATATATAAATAGTTAATAAACTTTGCAGGGAGCAGGTTTGATTGACAAGACTCATAGATTCAAGACAGCTGAGCACGACGGATGCAAGAGGCATTCCAAAATACTGTGGGAATATGGTCAGTCAACAGACTACAGCATGCTGGACAACAAGAAGCCTTTCTTTAGCTCTAAAAAAGCTGCCTATGGAACATCATCAACCTTCCATCACATCAGAAGGCAGGACAGCCAAAGCAGGACTTCTACTTAAAATCATTATTGCCTAATATGCTCAGATGCATTGTTGGGACTTTTGGGGAGTTTTGCATTGGGAACATTGTAACGTTCTGCATACAACTCTATCACTATCTGTTAAATTATTTTGTGTTTTCTTTTGGTCTGTGCTATCATATCTGCTGTTTTCTAACGGGATAAGTTAGACAGGTTGGTACTTTGAAACCTTTACCACTTAGCAAATGTTCACTTGGAAACCCATGATAAGACCGGGGTGCAAGTACGCCAGCTCTCAGCTAGGCTCGCTGCATTTGATGTACCAAGTTGGTCATGAAGTCGGACGTAGCTAAGTCATATGTAAGATTAAAGACCTTTTCTTAACGCCCAGCCATGCACTCAGCCTCACTGTTAAAAATAACAAATAAAAAAGTTTCTAATCTGGATCTGTTTGAAGTTTGATTTAAGCAGAAAAAGACAGCATGTGGATTTAAATCACATGACTTGGACTCAAGTCAGACTCGAGACACAGATTTGATAACTGTGGACTCAAATGAGGGTATTAAGGGGAAAGTTAAGGGAAACATGTAAGTTTTTCTTGTAAGGGTGTTGCTAGACCGCCGCCCCTGGACTGCTGTTACTTGGGACTTGACTCGGGACTTGAGACCAAAGACTTGAGACTTTCTTGTGACTTGCAAACCAATAACTTTGTCCCACCTTTGGGAGAAGATATGTCTTGTAAATTTTACTTTTATGAATTGGTGTTAACTAGGACATTGTTGTTGCTCATTGCTCATGTGAGAAATAAAGACAACGGACAAATCATGCAAATCATCTGAGAGTATACATGTGGAAGCATTTTGAATTCACTAGATAGATAGATAGATACTTATGATAGATATTGATCCCGAGGGAAATTCAAGCACTACAATGCTTTAAAAATGTGTTTAAAGATGAGGCAATAATATGACTTTTTAAACCTAATGTCCTTTCAGCAAAGTTGGCCTGTTACGTTGCTTATCACAGAAGTGCTAATTTCCTCTCAGTCCACTCTGAAACGTCTTCCTCCGTAAAAAAAATATAATGGACATCTACAGAATTTCAAAACGACTTTCAACAGCCATTAGTCTGCAGAAGCAGATTAGAGTTTCAGATGTCACTGTAAACAGTTTTTAGAGCAAAAGGAACAACTGTCTAGACAGAAAAAAATGCAGATTGTGAATGCCTCTATTTTCCTTTTTTCAACATCATGAGTTCACATTCCCTTTCCCATTTGTTAAGTTGGAGTAAGAGTCAGATTTTTGCTTTCTTGCAGTAAACCCTACTTTTCATTAACATGTTAACAAAATTATTATTATTATTATTATTATTATTATTATTACTCACTTATTATTCCAAGTGAGTCATGGCTTCTGTTATTCCTAAAAACTCTTTTTGAGCATTTACCTCTGTTGCATTTGGTACACTTGCTATGGCTATGAAATAGTTTTCCTCATGACACTCAGGGAGAGCTGAAAGGAATTTGAGTAGGTGAAACACGCGTAATATTTTTAGCCTGATGCATAATGATCCTGACTTAGCAGGATATTATTTTTGTTCTCTAGCAGCAATAACTCAATCATTTATTCATGTCAGATATTAAGATCACATTTCTATTTTAGACCAAATCTGCATTTAGCAATCTGTCAAAATGTCTTCCTGCTATTTTGTTGAGGGCTAGATGATTTCACTTTTCTAATGAATAGAAACCTTTCCTAAAAGGCAGAATGCAAAACCATGATCCCACAGAGTAGATAATGCTATTGCTCCTGGTTAGCTATCCTCATTTTTTTTATTGACATCCTCTAATAGTGACCACAGAGCAGCTCAGTGCAGGCATTCAATAAACAATATGTCAGCAGCAGAATTCACTTTGCGAATTGATCGTCTGCACTCTAACACATTACAACATCCACTCTGACTCTGAACACTTTCTGACCATGAAACTTTGGTATTACAACAGATACACCACACTTAATTTTCATTTCTAAGTAAAAGTGAAACTATAATTCATACAGATTTATATTTCATCACAGAAATGCAAGAATATGCATGCAGAGATGTGTTGAACATGTAATCTGACTCACAGCACACAGGACGGCCCATACCTAGGCTTACATTTCTGATGGTGGTAAGAGATAGCACACATTAAGGAAAGAATGTGTTAGGGAGGAAATGTTTTAATGCTTGTTTTCCTTCTGTATGGAGTAATATTAAAGGGACAGGATGAAGAGTTCAATGGGATCTAGCAGTGATGTTACAGAATGCATTAACTGGTAACCAATATATATCACCTTTGCTTTCAAGCAATGAAGTAAGAAACTAAATTGGCCATGAAATCATTAAAAAACTGCAGAAGGCTCTTTTTCTAGTAATCTCACATTCCTGTTGCAAGCCTTTTGCATCTGGTCTTTCACTGCCATGGCTAACATGAGATAATAGGACGATACCAGCATGAATAGAAGTGACTTTTGTTTCATACAGTCCTGACTGCAAAACTGACCACAAAACTGCCACCCCAGGTGGAATTCATCAGTCTACGTCCTGAGGAGGACACTCTGTTACATATTGCTGGCAATGGTTTTACACTGGGTGAATTAAAAGTCCAGTGCATCTCATGCACTCCAAGGCAAGCATGACAAAGCAGTGGTCTAGGATGACTTGAGCATGGCCTTAGAAGATGTAAGTTGGGAGAAAGAATTCAAGTAGCAGGTACACCTTTTTTTCTCCCAACAGACTAGTTCAAAGGTACAACTTCAGCACAAAATAAGGGTATTAATTCCAGAATGTATAGATATTCGCACAGATTTGGCTTAAATTTGACAACAAAGAGCATTATTTTCTGTTGCAGGTTTTTGGGTAAGGAGAAATCTGTGAACTGAGAGGGTATAAGAATCCATTGGCTATCTTTGGCAATCTAAAATTGTGGTCTGGGGCTGAATTAAATAGCAGTCAATAAGCTCAAAAAGATTGAGAAAATTAGATTTTAGTATCACTATTAGCGACCTTGGGTTCTGACATAGAACAAGAAAAAGTTAAAGAATTCTGAAGAACAAGCAAATCACTTATGGTGGACTAACACTCCTACCCTCTCACCGAGTTGAGTCTCTCCAGGAATTAATTCAGTTAAATATTTGTTTGGGAAATGTTCATTTTTAGGGTCTGGCTTTGCTCCCAGCCTAAACCTCAATATCTGAAACTGTCTCTGTTGTGATTGGAAAATTAAGTCCTGATAGATTTGTCAGATGACAGATGGCCCACTTGTCCTTTTGCTGTCCCTTGCATATTTGTTTGATAATTAGATGATGAATATTTATTGGATTTACTGGCCTTGGCCTGCTGCTGTAGAATGAATGTGTGAAAAACTGGACTGGACTGGCTGATTGACAGAATGGAACGGATGGAACGAAATGCCAAAGATAAATCCACACAGGCTGGATAAAGGAGAGACCTGTGTGGTATCATATGGTACGTCATGTAGTGGCTTCACAATCCTACGTACATGGTCTGCAGGAGGCTCTGTGGAACCGTGCAGCCAGCCTTGGGAGGGAAGTTCCAAAACAATCCAGGCCCCATCTAGCAGTGGTATAAAAATACAAGAGACAAGATCTACTGTACTGGTGTTGGTGCATTGCAGGTCTTAAGGCAGTAAAAAGGATCACAGAATCATAGGAGGAAACTTCATGCATAAAATTACACAGAGCAGAAAGAAGATATCAATTGGATCCTGTGGGGATGGCCATAAAAGACAAGTTAGAAAAATGTGTAGGTTAATAGTGTATAGGAAAAACAGATTCTAATTGATGCTTATATCTCTATGAAACCTTATAAAAGAAAAAGACAAAAAGTGGCTTTTGCTGACTTTGAGAGTAAACGTTATCAGACCATAATAGTGGCAAGAGAACAGTAACAGATTATAATGTACATTAAAAACAATGTCCCATTCCCCAATAGCCACTAACTGATGAGAAACAATTAGCATGCATAACATGTTAATAGCAGCACTGCTCTTCCAGCGGCTCACTTGTGGTGCCAACCTCCATTGTTTGGCTTTTGAAATGCCAGTGGGAGGCAGGGGAGCGTAGGGGGATTTTTGAGACTCCAAGGAGCAAGAAGAGTGGTTTCAAAACTGAGGGACCAAGGAATAGAGCAAGCCTGGCAAAGGGAGTCTCAGAAAGTTCGAAAACCAATAATTCTCGCTTAAAGGTGCACTGTGTAGATTTGGTAGTGAAATTTGAATGTTGGAGAATTGAAACAATTCTCTGCTATATTTTCTGAACTAAATACACAAACTTTACTCTATACTCTCGGTCCCTCGAAAACTGTCTGGAGCTAAAAAGCCAGTAACAGGAGAGTTACGGTTTCTCTGTTGCGGGCCCACCACCATAGCTTCTCGCGTTACATTTTATCTTCAGTGTTCCAAGCACCAAATTTTACTCTGAGGACAGTTTGTGTATAGAGTTAAGAACATACACCACAGAATCTGTACACTTCTCCAACTTTTACATTTCTCTACAAAAACTACACTGTAATAATTTATTTATTTTAAAGAGCTGTAAAACGTATTGCTTCTTTAGCCTATTAGATTCTTCTTTTTTGTCTGAGTGCATGGAAATTGTAAAAAAGAAAATGGCATGGCCTACTCCTTTTTGAACAGGACAGAAATGTTTCATCTATCAACTGTTCTGTCCCTTAACAACTTAAATATCTAGCTTAAACATCTAGCAGTTTGAACTGAAATAAAAAATGACCAAATGAAAGCAGGTTAGCCAGCTAGTCAAGCCTGATGTAAACCTGTTCATTGAATATACTCAGCCTATGCTGGCTATCACCATCTGAGATTCATCTTAATGTGGAAGGTGACAGAATGTAGAAGCTTCAAACTAGCATCAAGCACAGTGTCAGTCACTGCTACACAGCAGACCACTCCCAGTTGTTTGGGTGCAGCTGCAACAACCAGCTACCACATCCCTACAGTGCTGAAATATCTCTCAGGAATGATTCTACATTCAGAGAATTAGATTTCTACTACGTTTTATGTTTGAGTTATTTTAACACCTGACTACACTCACTTTTGTAACCAACATGTTTAGCACAAGTTGAAGCAAATAAAAAAAGATCAAATGTGTAGTCTTGCTTTCTACTTTAATTCAAGTTTTCATTTGCATTTTCACATTCACAACGGATTCTGGTAAATGCCTACTCAACCCATAGAATCCATCTTTTAATAAAGGGCTATATGGAGCATCGGCAGGGTGTTAGCTATTATTTCTGTGGCTCTGTAAAGCACATGCAGGAACAAAAGCAGGAGTGTGTTGCTCTGTATAAATCTATTTATAAACCTCGAGCTGAGAAACAGATCCACTCCCAAAGGGAAGACAGGCTCAGCTTCAGTGGTCGTTTCATGTGCTCAAGGAGCAGCATGATAGCGAAAAATTGCCAAGAAGTTTTACAATTTTTAAGCAAAACAAGAAAGACACTCCCTGCGAGAAAATGAAAAAGGGAGCAGGGTTCTCCAACAGTGGGGTTATGTAAGAGCACCCAACGTAAATGGTACACTGATATCGCTTATAAACATTTGAGAGGAATACAAAAAAACATGAATCTGTTGTATTTTTATCCTCCTGCTGATAATTCTGTCCTGTAAAGTTTCGGTCTAGTTATACAGAAATCCATTCTAATGAGCTTTATTTTTATTAGTCTCAGTTGAAAATGATGACATTACTGATCAAACACAGGGGTTTCAGCACATTTAAAGGAATGGTTCGGTCTTTATATGAAAAAAAAAAACACACTTTATATCAACCAGTATGCTATTACGCATTACAGCTCCATACTTTTAGGTGTTGCCAGCAGCATTCAGCAAATGCAGGGTGATTAAGGGCACCTTTGACACAAGCCTGCACCAAATCCAATCAACTTTTATGACTTCCAGCTACTATAGACTCATCATCCACTCCCCTCAGTCTACTGTTACCAAAAAAATTACATTCTTTTTCTTCTTCCCCTTTACATGCCAGTTTAAAGCAAGAGATATTGGGTTTATTTGGAATTTCAAATACTTTTTCTTCAAGGAGCAACAGGGTAAATACACTGTGTTTTAGGCTGAACATATGCTAGTTTAGTTGTGTGGTGCTCTGTTTCCTGTCCGGTCAATTAATTAACCTGTCAACATGTCGACACCTGCTGTTTTCAAGAGAGAGACTACTTACTGGAGCTGTATTGTGTGTATGTCTTTGTTTGTGTGTGACTGTTTGTGTGTATGCATGTGTGTACATGTGTGCATGTTTTGTTTTTTTTGTTCCCCCCCACCCCACCCCAACACACATAGTGTCGGGGTGGGGTGGGGGGGAGAGAAAAGTTTAGAGTACAAAGCCTCAGCAGCCGCATTCACACACACTGTGCCAAAATCCTGTCCTCATTTTATCATTCTCCTTTTGTCCTCTTACACAAAACAGGTGTATCGCCTATGGAGCTCAAATCTTATTTTCCAGAACAGACTCAGGACAAAGTTATAATTAAAAACAATAACCCAGCTTCACTCTAACCATTGATATTCAACACTTTTCAAACACATTTTCTAATCAAAAGAAACATAGCGTTACTGTACCTGTGATATAGTGCAGAGCTTGTCCGTACAATAAAGTCTCGTTTTGCTGTTGTTTGTTGTCTGTGTCTGTGTCCCTCAGGCACAAAGGACTGCTGAAGTGTATGTCGGCGAGTGTGTGTGTGTGTGTCTGTGGGTGCAGTAGACGGAGAGAGAATGAGAGAGGTGCAGAGTCTCTCTCTCTATCTCTCTTTTCCCATCTCCCTCCCCTTTCTGATGATAAACAAGAGAGCACGTGGCTTCACCAGTGATGAAGCGCAGTGATGATCAAAGCAACAGTAACTGACAAGGCAGTGGAAAAAAGGAAAGAAAGGGCTTGAACTAAAAGCGGGAAAGTGAGGACACTAAATGGAGTTGTTTCTGGGTGTAAAGCGAAGTCTGTGCATGTGTGTGTGTACATCTTGTTCTTGAAAACAGAGCGCTGCATTTCTAAGCTGGCAAACCACACATTGGAAATAACTCCTGCTTTTTGAACAGCACTGATGAGAATAAATGCATTGAAATCTCAAACACACACACACACACACACACACACACACACACACACACACACACACACACACACACACACACACACACACGCACGCACGCACACACACACACACACACACACACACACCAGAGGCTCTTTGTTGTCTGGCTGGTTAAAGCTAACATCCATTGCATTGACCATGTTTGGGCAACTGGGGCATGAAGCAATGGGGACACTGATAATAACATAATGGATGTGTCTTTATAGATTTCTGAGTGCAGCATGCTACAGCTTTATAATAAGCCACACTGAATATAATATGACATGTTTACAATTACAGGTATTAAAGTGCTCTTAAACTCTGTTGTATGTAGGCTACATGTTCTAAACCTGTCTACTGTAATTTTCAAACAACGTTTTCCAGATAAGCTTCTTGCTCCACCAGCGAGATGGGGATGATGAGTGTGCAGCTAGTGCCCTGAATGTGACAAGTTCCTCAAAAAATAGAGAAGGGCAGGCTGGTCATACCTGTACCTTATTTGGTGAGCAGTGGTCAAATACTGTAGACACCATTAGATTAATCTCCACTCTCACCTCCTCACCTCTCTGATTGTATTCACTTTGATTTACATCGCGAGTAACTCCTTCTTTATTGTTTTCCTCACTAACACTGCAATCAAGGTCCTATTAAAAATTCTTAGCTGATGAAAGATTATTGAAAAAGGACAGATTCAACCATTTACCATTTAACCATTGTGTGTACAACAATGGCAGCCTACACATGCTTTCATATTTTCTCATTTTATTTGTGTGTTTTTGAGTGTTTTCTTACAACAT